ACAATTGAATAAATTTTTATTAGATCGTCACTTCCTCGAAGACATATGTAAAAATTACAGGTGTAACCGGCATCAAAAATCACTTTGAGCAGAATTATATTAAAGATTAGTAGATTATGTGAATTCATCTAAAACTAGTCATAATAATCGAGCAGAAAAGATTATTCCCTCACCAAGATTTATTTGTGCACCACGTAATATAATACAAAATTAAATGAAAAACTAGATCTCTTTATTACAATGATAAATTTGAAGTCTTAATATTGATTAGAGGAAAGTACGAAAGAAATATGTGGAATGGCGTCGTGCTAAAGCATGAATATTTAAGCATATTTTTGTTTATAACTTCTATGTAGAAGTACTGTTACCTATTTTTTATAAATTAATCGTTTCAAAACTAAATAAACTTTATCTTATCAAATTTTTTTGACTTTTTAAAGAAACGGTATACGTTAATTTTAGTTATAAAATGATGGAATATCATATTCTATGTATTTCTCCATAATAAGCCCAGTTTTGGATTTTGATTTAGGAAAACAGCGTAGAATGCTTCTTTGAAGAAGAATAAAATCTCGGATAATATATTGATAAGTAAAATTTACTTGGTTCTTGAATCGACTGATGCATTAAAAAAAGACGTGATAGGACTTTTCTTGTCTTAAATATTGGTGCCTTAGCGTAACGCCGCTCTGTTAAATCGCTTTTATATTTTTTTCCATGAATATTAAAATTTCAAATTTGATATACGTATTCTAATAGCTTTGAAAAATAACGTAGTATTAAAAAAATTTAATTTTCGAAAACAGACTTTCGTCGATTTAAATTACTTATGTTATATCTTTTAAGGTTATCATTTTTTTAAAAACAAACGAAAGTACTTATCGATTTTTAGAAAGAACTATCAGGAATTTTATAGTAAAAGAAGTATTATAAATTTTTTGATTCTTTTCCTCCGTAACTTTGAAAATATGAATAAGTTGAACTGATAGAATGCTTCTCTGCGTTGTGTGAAAACCTCTTCGATAACCACTAGCTAAGAAAAGGTCCTTCATATAGTCAGCAGTCAAGGAAGTAAAGGGATCCTTTCTCCGAAAGTTTAGAAAATAATATTTAGAATAGTTTCTTATTTAACTTAACTTAAAAAAAAATTCCAATAAGATAATTAGTACAGTTTTCCAAGCATATGCATATTGAGATTGTGGCGGGGAATTTTAGGAGGTCTAAGCCGCGCACTCGAAATACTTCCGCCACATGGCCTGACTAAATCGTCTTTCTGACCAGTGATAAGGGCGCCAGATCCCCGTTCCTTAGTTACAGCGAAGGAAATCGGCGCGTAAGTCTATCTGCCCACTGTGCGACTGCGCAGAGTGAGCAAGTTGTTGATCTCACACCGACAACTTTTCTTCAGGCCGCTCCAACAACCAATGGTTAATGTTCTCCGTTCTCTCCACGTCCTGGGAATGCCGGCAGCTCAAGAAGCAAATCCTTGTCTCCGTTCGAGGGTTCGATATAGTTAGCGCGTATATTACCTATCGTTAAATAATAATAAAATCAGTATGCAGGAGGAAAAAGTCAACGAGGCATAAATAACAGATATCGGTTACACTTCACTTTCCTTTATTCTCTAGCTAGGGTACGGTCGGTCAGAATATCGGATGGTCAGCGGGTTCGAAGCGATTTAACGCACGGCAGCAACGGATCCACACATCCCGGCGAATCAAACACGCGGCAAATTATGCGCACAATTCCCAATTCTCGATGGCGAGTAGCACTTCACCTAGCTATCCGAATTCTACACTTCTTACACTCGAGTTAATTAAGAAAAATGGCGGTTAGTCAGCACGATTCGGTCAGAGCTCTATTCCTGGCGTCAACGGATCCACGCGTCACGACGGAATTAAGGATACGGCAAATCACGCGCAAAAACATCTAATTCTCACTAATAAGAGACACTTTGCCTACTTACCTATCTCAAACCTGCAGAATCACTCGATTACTTCCCAAATCACTCGATTTTCTCGGTTGGTAGTGGATCTAATTGTAGCGAAGCTCACGATCAGTGGTAAAATGGACGAGCAACGGTTCTTCACGGTCAAAGATCCTTTACTTCTCCTCTTTCCGAGAAGAAATCATTGTATTGGTCGATATAGTTAGCGCGTATATTACCTATCGTTAAATAATAATAAAATCAGTATGCAGGAGGAAAAAGTAGTGCCCTCCGAATATCCCCGTCATTGGTCAACATGCAATTTAGAAAAGTCACAGCGTCCTCATTTTCTCTCCTACCTCATCGCCATTTTTCCTCTCTCACCCCCCACTAAGAAACTTTCGTTAGAGGTTCAAATTTCATCAGTCAATTATGTTGATTTAATTTAACAGACTACTTGTCGCTTATGAGTACGTTTAGGGAATTGTAGCGGTCGCGTAAATGTATTTTCCAATTTTACTTATGTACGTTATACATTTTAAGTTGCATCGCTAGGTATTTTGCCATATAATATAATAGTCGTAAGTCGGTTTCATTTTCGTAGCGCACTTATCATCTAGTTTGCGTCCGAATTGCTATTGCATTTACATTCTAGCTCGCTCGCTTTCATATGGTCTGTCTCGCTTGCTCTCGTCTAGACGGTCTTGCTTGCTCTTGTTTAGTCTGCCTCGCTCGCTCTCATCTAGATGGTCTCGCTCGCTGCCGCGTGTAGACATCGTGCTCTGTTGCCGGTTTTTCGAGAACCTCCTGGAGCGCTCCTCCTCGGTTGTGTGTTGTGTATGTGCATCCGGATGTTCGCCAGTGGTCAGCAGCTGTGTGTGCGTGGCGCTGAGGGTGTCGTCGATGGTGCGCAGCAGCCTGACACAGCTGATTGCCGGCTACCGCTTCATCTGCGATTACCTAGTCACTCCAGGTGTGACAGCTTCCTCAGAGTGTCTGTGCTAGTGCCTGGATATGTAACGTGTCCGCGGGTTTTGCTCGCATGCGTTTTTGCTGTATTTTTCAGTCGAGTTTCCCGTGTGTTTTCCTCCAGCCAGCAACACGTGGTCGGGAGTGTGTGTGTACGTGCGCTCCATTTTTCACTCATCCGTCGGATTACGCGGATTGGGTTGGGTTGCCTTGTTGCAATGTTTTTCCGGGGGTGAGTGGGCGAATTTGAAAATAAAGTAGGGTTTATATTAGGGCGTGAGTAGAACAACTTTATTCTGCTGGTCACTGGGTGGCAACGGACGGGGGTGGCTTCCCTAAAGTGTTGCAAGCAAGGCAAAACCTTGAAATGCACCACAGTATAAGATAAAGTACGAGGTGTGTTCAAAAAGTAACGAGAATTTTTAAATTTCGCGGGTTTGGAGAGTCCGCTTGTATAAAATTTTTTTTTATTATGTTGGTACACATGCCCCTGAAGTACGATAAAATTTTCAGCAATATTCATTGCTTACTTTTTAAGTGGCAGCCGCTAACGTTAGACGTGTTTTTCAAGCTCGGCGATTTTCGTTTGTGAAAAAAAATGGATCAAAGAATTTGTATTAAATTTTGCGTAAAAAATGAAATAAAGTGTAGTAAAGTTTGTCAAATGTTAACAAAGGCATATAGTGAGTCTGCTATGAGTAAAGCAAGGATTTATGAGTGGTATAAGCGTTTCCAAGATGGCCACGAAAACGTTGAAGATGACGAACGACCCGGACGCCCAAGCACATCAACAACCGATGAAAACGTGAAAAAAGTGAAAGAAATGGTTATGAACGATCGCCGAATCACAATCAGAGAAGTCGCTGATGATGTTGGCATATCAGTTGGCTCATGCCATTAAATTTTTTCGAATGTTTTGGGTATGAAACGTGTGGCAGCAAAATTCGTTCCAAAATTGTTGAATTTCGAACAAAAACAGCGGCGAATGGAAGTTGCTCAGGAGTCGCTAAATGAAGTCAATAACGATGCAGAACTACTAAAACGTGTTATAACAGGTGACGAAACATGGGTTTTCGGATATGATGTCGAAACTAAGGCTCAATCGTCCCAGTGGAGGCATTCTGGATCGCCAAGACCGAAAAAGGCTCGACAAGTGCGGTCGAATGTGAAGGTTATGCTCACTGTGTTCTTCGATTTTAATGGCATAGTGCATTATGAATTCTTGCCACAAGGTCAAACAATCAATAAGCAGTACTACCTACAAGTTCAACGTCGTTTGCGTGAAGCAATCCGAAAAAAACGCCCGGATTTGTGGCAAAACAATTCATGGCTTTTGCACCACGATAATGCGCCTGCTCACACTTCATTGCTTGTTCGTGAATTTTTGGCCAAAAACGAAACTGTAACGATGCCTCAGCCTCCATATTCGCCAGATATGGCTCCATGTGACTTTTTTCTATTTCCAAAAATAAAGAGAACATTAAAAGGCCGTCGTTTTACAAGCATAGATGACATTAAAAGCGAATCGCTGAAAGAGCTAAAAGCTATTACAAAGATCGAGTTTCAAAAGTGTTTCGAGGATTGGAAAAAGCGTTGGCATAAGTGTATTGTATCCGAAGGGGACTACTTTGAAGGCGACAACATTAATGTAGATGAATAAATAAATATTTTTTTCATAAAACGAAAATTCTCGTTATTTTTTGAACACACCTCGTATAATAAAAAAAATTGTAATAGAACTGATTATAAAAAAAAAAAATTTCAAATTCACTTTTTGCAATTATTCGTAAAGTTTTTCTTCAATCAAATTAATAAGAAGTATACCCCCTTTTTCCCTCAAATTATTTGACCCTATTGAAATTTATTGAACCGCTCTAGAGATATTCGTGGATATAGAATACAGTACCTCATTCTTTTTTGAAGTTGACGAAAGTATTTAATGATATAAAAAAGAGTGATCGACTTAAAATCGATTGTTGCGCTCTTCAGGCCGGGTTAGGGTTTCCTTTTAAATTTTGTTACTTGGTCACATGGACCTTCTATAAATTCATTGCCATTATTTCATTGTCATAATCATTTTAACAAGGGCGATCTCTTGTTGTAGGTCTCCCCTGGCTCGGCCTGATGCGCGTCGTCTCAATTGCTGATAATCCACCACCGGCCGAGATCGAATCAACGAACAGGGATATTACAACAAGCCACATGTCTGTACTGCACTTTGAAATTCAACTATTCTATTGGCAACAATAATTTTGTATTAATTTAGTATTCTAGGGCTTTAAAAAGAAAGCCAAGTTCACACAAAATAAATTTTAAAATAAGGAATGATAAACGGACTACAAGGCGATCAAGTTAACAATCGAACAGGTTGAAAACATTTTAAAAACTTTTTATTGGTTTTATTAGACTTTAAAAAATCATTATCCGATAAAATTCGTTAAGAAGCTTATTAGAAATATTTAGAAATATGGCTTCATTCAAGGTTCCTATACTGAATTTAGAAGTCAGAGAGTTAAAAGAAATAATATGGGAGAAAGTACAAGAACCCCAAGCCCAAAGAAAGCTTATATTGGTAATTGTATGCATTGCTCTTCTGCTTGACAATATGCTGTACATGGTAATTGTACCAATAATTCCAGACTACCTCAAGTATATAGGGACATTTGCCGAAGATAAGCTTATTAGTAATGGAACATCTCTGGCAATTAGCAGTCATCATGGACAAGACTCTGCTACTGGAGTGTTATTCGCTTCGAAAGCAATCGTACAGTTGATGGTCAATCCATTTTCTGGAGCTTTGATCGATAGAATAGGCTATGACCTGCCGATGATGATAGGACTCTGCATAATGTTCCTATCGACTGCTGTATTCGCTTGCGGTCGTAGCTACGGTGTCCTTTTTTTTGCAAGAAGTTTGCAAGGTGTTGGATCAGCTTTTGCAGATACATCTGGCCTCGCCATGATTGCTGATCGTTTCACAGAGGAAACAGAACGCTCGAAAGCTTTAGGGATCGCATTGGCATTTATTAGCTTCGGCTGTCTTGTAGCTCCACCATTTGGCGGAGCTCTGTACCAGTTTGCCGGCAAGGAGGTGCCTTTCCTCATCCTGGCATTTGTGAGCCTTGCTGATGGCTTTATGCTATTGCTTGTTATGAAGCCTATCAAAGAACAAATTAAGGAAAGCCGCAGGGAAATGACTCCAACTACACCAATTTGGCGACTCTTCATCGATCCCTATATTGCGGTTTGCGCTGGTGCACTAATGATGTCAAATGTAGCACTCGCTTTCCTTGAGCCGACCATCTCTCTATGGATGGAGGATCATATTACACACGACAACTGGAAGATGGGCATGATTTGGCTTCCTGCATTCTTTCCTCACGTCTTTGGAGTAGCCATCACTGTAAAGATGGCTAAGCAGTATCCGCAACACCAGTGGCTCATGGCAGCAGGAGGTCTTGCCTTAGAGGGCTTATGTTGTTTAATTATTCCTTTTTCGACCTCCTATAAATTTCTAATGATCCCAATTTGCGGAATTTGCTTTGGCATTGCTCTTATTGACACGGCATTACTACCCACTCTTGGTTATCTTGTAGATGTACGTTATATTTCAGTCTACGGTAGTATATATGCCATTGCCGATATCAGTTATAGTTTGGCTTATGCCATTGGACCTATTATTGCTGGAGGAGTAGTTGAAGCTATCGGTTTTACGGCTCTTAACATTGGCATTGCTTTCAGTAACCTACTGTATACACCAGTGCTTATGTATCTGCGACATATTTACGATTTCAAGCTTTTTCAAGATGAGGCTAATATACTTATGCAAGATCCTCCCAGCAAAGAGTATCAAACTTACGTACTTCAAGAACAAAGACCTCTGACCGGCGAAGTGGGTAATCACTTGACGTCTCAAGCGAAGATCGAGACTAATCTTGACCGGGAACCTAGCTATCAAAGTTATGAAGATCAAAACACTTACCGACAAAATTCAGCTCGAACTCCACAAAATCAGAGCTACTCATTTGAACAACAGCATCCATCTCAGCAATATCAGCAGAATTATGCAGGTTATGATCATAGCTCACAAGCGATGCAGCAATCGGATACAGTATTTTATCAGCAGATACCATATCATCACCAGCAACATCAAAATATCAGGTCGGGAAATCCCAATCCGTTCAAAAGTGAAGACTTTGATGAACGGCCTACTGGAGATAGTAATCCTTTCAGACAAGGCATGTTTTAAAATACACACACTTATTCTTTCACTAAGTTACGTGTTGAATAATTAGAATCCGTAAATAGATAGATGCTATGATGCTAGTCATTTATTTTAGTTGATGACTGTGATTGATTGAAGTTGTGGACTGTTGTCTTCGTGGTAGGCTTCCACTGATGAAGAATGCAAATAATAATTTAATAATTGTTAAGAAATGTCGAATAATCTAATTAAATTATAACAGTTTGTCATTAGTAAAAGTTTAACTAATCATAAGGAATACTTATATTGCAATATAATACGGAATGTACAATAACTCAACTAATGTATGACAACATTAGAAACAAATCGATATTAAATATTACTAACTAGCTATTGTTTTGCTTCCAAAAATGTCTATTTTAATGACTATAACAATGCGCTTTCTGTTTCATAATGTGCTTCAAACAATACTTTTGTGCATTAAGTTTATATTTTGGATGTGGTCAATACCAAGTTGGTTTTAATTACTAATTTTTAAATCATTAGAAGTTAATTAATAATAATATTATTTTTAATAAATATATGGAAATAGGATAATTTTTCGCAAAAAAGTGCAAATATGTACATATTCTGCTTATTTTCATAGTTGTCCTCCTTATACAATTCTTTGGTTAGAAAACTACTTATTAATTTGATTTGAAGTTCAATTTTGCACCATTTCTGTAACTATCAAATTAATGAAGCATATGTAGTAAGAATTTCGAGCTATTTTCAAGACAATTTATAAATATCTATTATGATTAAGGAGTACAATATGTTAAGGCAACTAAGCAGTTTATTAATAAATATTAATGGTATACTAGTATATTACCCTTACCAGAAATTAAACATAGTTTTTATTGAAAGACAGTAGCATGTTAAGTATTTGGTCTATAGGTTCCGATCAGCAAAGAACTATAGAAATTACTCAAAGTGTTTGTATTATTTTATTTTATTTCCAAATTGATCGAATTTATTTAATATTACTGATTGCTGAACCAAGATAACATATCACGAATTCTGTTTCTTACGGAGTTCAGAAAGATAGTTCTAAGAATTGTACTCTAGAGAAAAATGATAGAATATGTAATTTCGTATGTATAGTGGATTAATCAACATCGTTAGATTAGTAGTTTCATAGTTACTATAACATATTACATATAACATTTTACTACACGAGAGATTTTTTTTCAAATTTACAATAGCTTACTACTTATTATTGAAACATGTTCGTTATACGTTCTTTATTTTATATTCAAATATCTCAATCTCACTGATAATTAAAGGCAACATATATTTGTGTGTATCGTATGATATTTATAGAAAATAAAAAAAATTTTTATGTAAGTTCATCAATGATTTCATATACAGTATGTACGGCAATTATTGAAAAATCTTTTAATAAATAATTTAATTACGCTAAAGCGTTTCCTCTAAAATTATGACTTTATTCAAGAAGTGAACGTGATTTGAAATTTATAATTTATTGAAAGTGAAAAATTTAATATTTTTAATTATAAGGAACCCACGTTACCTGTGAAGACCAATTTTGATGTGATTACAGTTTTGAAAGATGTTCCTTATAAAAACTAAAATATATATTTAGTTTGATTTTATAGGCCTTTTTCGGACTTATAAAGCCTCATATCGAACATATAGAAAATCAAGTCTCTCTTTAACCTGATATAACACTTAAAGAAATAAGTCTACCACAATTTACAAATCATCAATCGATACCAAGACTTAAATGCTTAAGTTTAAAAAAGAACTTTATTGAATAGGATTCAATCATTCGTGTAATGTCATTTTAAAATGTATAAATTAAATCCCTAGTAAATTTGTCCCAAATTAAACAATTTTAAAATTTATTAAAACGAAATGAAATAAATTATTTCAATGTAACTTGTAAATGGCTCAATTTCTTTGAATATACTTGTTTTTCTGCAAATAAAATTATTTTATTTCAGATTTCCATTGCTGACTTGTAAATTATGGTTGATTCATTTCTTGAATTGTTATTTAAAGTTAAAATACGGAGATTTCATTTTTCAATACATTGGATATAGAACCGCGTAAAAGCTCCTAAAATATGACTATGAAATGAAACTAATTGATACATGATGTCTAACTTTCTATGAGGAATATTTTTACAATATTTTATCAAAATTGATCTTTCACAGCTTTGCGATCTTCTTCTTGTTAAAGCGTGATTTCCCGGTTAAAAAGAGGACGTTAATTCGAATTGAAAGATATCTCCAATCCATTTTAAGTTTATTTGTGATAACCACAAATGTTTTGGAAATTTATTCAAAATTAGATCGGGAAATAGTGTTTTTGCAATCGATTGAAATTGATAGAATTAAAAACCATTAATGCATTGGATTACAAATAGCAAAGTTAGTAAATAAATAGCAAAATTCATGTAAATCATTTGTAAAAGCAAAAATAATATTCATTCAACTGTAATAAAATGAGAAAAATAAAATAAACATGTTTTTACAGCTTTTCTTTTGATTGCAACCTTTGATGCAAGATTGGAATTTTCGACCTTTTGTTCATGAAACTAACACTTATACGAGTGATTCATCGTTAACTAGCAAAATCCTTGTTTGATTAGAAATTACATATTGTGAAGAAACTATGAGGAAAATTCATTCTATTATCAAATAATGCTAAAATTCAAACTTTTAATCTATGCATATTACTTTTAATGTATTTGTTTTATTAAATTCTGTCTTGGTTTCAAACTGTATTCACAATCTGTCTTTCAAAAATAAATAAATGTTATTTTTATAAATGTTAACGATTCTGACGACTATACATTATAAGAAGGTATTTTATAATTGATCCATACTAAAACGTTTATTTTATAGAGCTAACTTTAAGTATGTACAAAAGATGATTTATTTTCTCTTTTGAATCTGGAGACTGTTGGTATTGTGTGCATTAAACTCTTTGCCAGACGAGTTAAATGTTCCTTTAACCGGGTGGTGTATTTCTTCTACAAGCAAATTTTTTTTTTCTTTTACGATTGGTTTGTTAATGTCCTTCTTGATTATCTCGTTTGTAAAAAACCATAGTGTATTTGTAATAGATCTTAGAATTTTATTTTAAAACAATGATATGAATATTTGATTTTATGGCTATACCCCATAATTGAATGCTATACGTTCATACCGATTTGATTATTTACATGTATATCAACAATTTGTTGTTTATTAATAATTATGATTGTTCGTCTAGAAGCAAGTAGCATTTTCTTAGCTATAAAATAAGCATGTTTGATCTAAATATGATTCCTCCACGTTAGTCGATGATCCAAGTACATACCAAAATATTTATAGCTTTTTCTTCTTATGGTAATGGGCTATTGGAGAATGGAGGATAGGTTTTTTTTGAAGATGTAAGTTATCCGAAATGCCTTGATTTCATTGATTGTTATTCTGCATTTTATTAACCAAAGTAGTGCTTTATCTAGATATTTCTATCACATTACAACATATGTTACTTTTGAGTGGGTTGCTAACATGGCTGTGTCATCTGCATAAGTAGAAATATTAATCTCGTATTTTACGTGATCGGAAAATTATGAGTGTCAATTAAGTATAGTATGGAACCAAGAACACTTCCGTGAGCTTATTTCAACCTTAAAATTTCACCATTTTGAGTATGATCTAAGAGTAAACAGAGATCTTTTGGTAGGGTTTTATCGATTTTATCAAGTATCGGTCGGGGCACGCATGTAAGCATGAAATAGCTGTGAAGCTTTACCGCACTCAACACTATATACAATAAGTTAGTTCATCAGAGCTCCTCCGATAGTGTTTAATCGCCTTTATAGTTTCCACGCATGATATATTGATATATCCAATAATAAAATTTAAATTCGTGATTATCATCTTTTTTTGAAAGAAGTTTTAGTTCAATTGATGTGATTTCGAGATAAGTATTTAGAAAACAAGATTTTTTCTTTGTTGTTTTCTTGAACAAGTTTTCGTCACAAGTTGTTTTACACAAAATACTAACAAGGAAGGTACCCCAACCCGAACTCACTGATTTTGATGATTCTTGTATATATTGTGTGTAATACCGTATACGTGTATAAGAGATTCGTGTTTTCTTTATCGGCAGAAAAACATATTAAGGGTGAAATCCAACCTCAAAATTGACCTCCAAAAATAGTATTTCAAATAACTTTTCGTCTAATTAATATTTTTCAGTAAAACAAAATGGATACTAATTCTTATTAAAAGTAAATAAATTCTAGTGTGTTTGGATTTTTAGTACGCTAAAACTCCTATTTTTAATACGCGAAAAATTGAAAAATTGACGTCATTTTTTGCAGTGAAAACGTTAAAAATAGTGTAATTATAACTGAATTTTTATGCTTATAAAGAAAATAGAAAAATAAAGTTTATGTTTTTCTGTATTTTCAATAAAAAATATTTTTAGTGGGTAAAGCCACCCCTATGAATGAAAATTAGTATTTTAGGTATTACGATAATTTAAAAGCGAATTTTTTAATTTTTACTCTTTTCTAGATATTATTATAATGAAAATTTTTTAAAAACTTATTTAAAGGGTGAAATCGACCCTCAAAGTTAACCCCTAAAAACAGTAATTTGGAAATAACTTTTCTCCTAATCAATATTTTTAAGTAATACCAAGTGGGTAATAATCTTTATAAAAAGTCAAATAAATTCCGGTGTGTTTGACGTTTGGGCGTTACAAGTTCTATTTTTCATAGGTGAAAAATTGACGTGAATTTTCGCAGTGAAAAAATAGTTTTGTTTTGAATAGATAATTGTATTCAGTAAGAAAATAGAAAAATAGTATCCTCTAATATCTGTATAATCAATAAAAAATAATTTCAGAAGGTAAAACTACTCTTATTAATAAAAATTAGTATCTAATGAGTAGATAATGCGATGATTTCAAATACATTTTCTAATTTTCAGTAGTCGGTGGCCGTCACCATATTAAAAATGAAAGAAGAGAATAATTTAATTATTATAATAATATTTTAACTTTTTCGATCTCGAGTGGTGAAATATTAAATTTTGAATAATTATAATAATAATGAATGCAATATGATAATCTACTTCTAATTACACAGACGAACAAAATTTTTTTAAAGTCCAGAATCAGAGACCAGACATAGTATACCCGAAGGATTTTGATGCGCTGAATTCGAATCCGAGCTCAGAATTTTCTCTATACGTCACGTTTCCGAGATATCCAAACCTAAAAGTGCAAAAAATACCGTTTTTTACTATTTTTGAGGTTACATAGCGACTTGAATAAATTTTTTTTTTCAAAAATGCGCCAGAGCATCACGAAGGAGCAGTCTTGCCCTTTGAAATCCATTTTTCAGATTCAAGATGGCTTTTTTTTCATCGAGATATCATTGATTGAAGTTAAGTATTTTCGCAGTTTCGTAACAACGTTAAAACAGCCTATACAGCATATGTGAGGCTATAAGCCCAATTTATAAGTGATCGTATTCATTCGGAAAACTTTATATGTATATGTGTTTTTGAAGTTGTTGATTAAAAATATAAGGTCAGATTTTGAAAATTTAAAATGGCGGATCCAATATGGCAGACTTAAAATTTTATAAGTGATCGCATTCGACCGAAAAAATATGTACATAGGTTTTCGGGGATGCTAATTACGAATATACGGTCAGATTAAGAAAATTCAAAATCGCTAATGCACTAAGGTAGACCTGAAATATAGCCTCACATACTCGTATGCTATCTATATAGGCTGTTTTAACGTTACGAAACTGTGAAAGTACTTAACTTCAATCAATGATATCTCGATGAAAAAAAAACCATCCTAAATCTGAAAAATGGATTTCAAAGGAAAAGATTACTCCTTTGTGGTGGTCTGGCGCGGTTTTGAAAAAAAATGTATTCCAGATGCTATGTAACCTCAAAAATAGCAATAAACGGTATTCTTTGCACTTTTAGGTAAGGATATCTCGGAAAAGTTACTTATAGGGAAATTTCTGAGCTCGGATTCGAATTCAGCGCAGCAAAATCCTTCGGGTACACTATACCTGATCTCTGGTTCGGAGACTTGTCGGCCTGTGTTATTAAATAAAATAATGTTATTTTTATTCTAAAAAGTTTTTTTTAATCAGTCTAAAATCGTTTATATGAAAGTAAATAGAAAATTAACAATTTGATTAAAAACCATACAAAGGAAATAATATTAGTTTGTTTAGTAGTTGTAACTAGAATATTATAGTGCGACTTTTATGTCCGCGCGCGTAATTTTCAGGACGTCTGAGGTACGAAACATACGAGGTGTGTTCAAAAAGTAAGATGACTTTGTATTTTTAAGAAAAAATATTTATTTATTTATCAATATTTATGTTGTCCCCTTCAAAGTAATCCCCCTTACATACAATACACTTATGCCAACGGTTTTTCTAATCCTCAAAGCACTTCTCATAAGCACTTTTTGGTATAGCCTTGAGCTCTTCCAGCGATGCAGTCTTTATCTCTTCAATCGTTGCAAATCTCCGTCCTTTCATAGGTCTCTTTAGTTTTGGGAACAAGAAAAAGTCACATGGGGCCAAATCCGGTGAATATGATGGCTGAGGCATAATTGTGGTGTTGTTTTTGGCCAAGAAATCTCTCACAAGCAAAGATGAGTAAGCAGGGGCATTATCGTGATGCAAAAGCCATGAATTGTTTTTCCACAATTCTGGGCGTTTTCTTCGTATTGCTTCTCGCAAACGGCGTATAACTTCAAGATAATACTGTTTATTGACCGTACGTCCATATGGTAAGAACTCCTGATGCACCACGCCATGGTAATCGAAGAAAACAGTGAGCAAAACTTTGACATTTGATCGAACTTCGCGTGCTTTTTTCGGTCTTGGCTCATCTGGGCTCTTCCATTGGGACGATTGGACTTTGGTTTCGATATCATAACCATATACCCATGATTCGTCACCAGTTATGACCCTTTTGAGTAAATCTGGGTCGTCGTTGACGTCATTCAACAGTTCTTGAGCGATGCTCATGCGACGGTTCTTTTGGTTAAAATTTAGCAATTTCGGAACAAACTTCGCTGACACACGTCTCATGCCCAAAACGTTAGAAAAAATTTCATGCCACGAGCCAAGCAATATACCAACATCCTCAGCAACTTCTCTGATAGTGATTCGACGATTTTCCAGAACAATTTTCTTCACTGCTTGAACGTTTTCATCAGTTGACGTGCTTGGGCGTCCAGAGCGAGGCTCGTCATTGGCATCTTCCCGGCTATCTTGGAAGAGTTTGTACCACTTGTAAACATTTTTTTTACTCAGAACAGTTTCACCGTATGCCACCGTCAACATTTCAAGTGTTTCGGAGCACTTTATTTTATTTTTTACACAAAATTTGATGCAAATCCTTTGATCCATATTTTTCGATAGCAAGAAATCGCCGAGCACGCAAATTACTTATAACCTTTACGCCTCTCACAACCAAACAAAAAATGCTATACACTTGAAACTTGGTACAGATGTTTGGGAAGAGTGTACCAACATAACAAAACAAAAAAATCGATAATCGAAAGTCACCTTACTTTTTGAACACACCTCGTATATCTCAGGAGCTCTGTTTCCGTTTAAGCTTTTGCATGTAAACCAGGGAAAGCTTTGTTATAAATTAAAGTTTTGGCGTGTGCTCCTATTATTCTTT